AGGGAAAAATGAATGTGAGGACAGATCAGCAGGAAATTGGGAGCAGCGTGATCATCCCTGGGTCTGATATGAATCGTATCTAATCAGGAAGTGCACTCACATGTTTCTGTCAGAGGAACACAGCCTTTAAATGGCTGAGGGTTATGGAACCATAGCAGGTTACGCTTTCCTTTTAATGCATGAAGTTAAATATACAAATATTTAAGTATGGAAGGAAAATCTTCTAAGAAAATAAACAAAAAAAGTAAGGCCAGTTAAAAATGCAAAGCTGTGTCTCGTGGGAAAGTAAATTTGCACAATAAACATTAACACTTGAAGCAAAGCGTTTGTTTTGTCAGTTTAACAGCCAAAAACAAAAGCACGTGTAGTTTTAATGATAACCAAATCTAATCTGTGCTTTCAGAGACGGCATGTGCAACACAGTCAGCAGGTCTGCCTTTGAAAGGCTCTGAGGTGTATCAGGAGAGCTGGCATTTGGCACCTAAATAGCTGAGATGACTCACATGTGCTGGACTGTACTGAGTAAACAGACACCATGTGAGGCTGTTTGACATTGTCAACATCACACTGTTTTAGATTTCTGTGAACTTTCTCTGCACCTCCTTGAATCCTTCCAGATTTAATATTTAGAGGCTACTGGCTGATTGAAATATGTCACTCTGCTTTGTTTTTTTCTAAACAGAGAGTCATCTGATGGAATATAACTGAAACCAGAACCAATCATGTCTCTCCTTTGATGACCTTGATGAGTTCAGACTCCTCTGATGAAGCCAGCCGTCTGACGCTGGATCAATCAATCGGTTTGCAACAGTTGATGAACATGACTGAATTTGGCTCCTGCGGTTATGTCTCTCATGTAACATCCACACAGCATGAAAACAACTACATTCTCATGTTACTGGACAGCCAGTGGCTGCACTTTTATTCAAACAGATATGTTATTTGTATTGTTGCGATGGAAAAAAGTCAAACTTCAAGTAGAGGACATGTCCAACTGGCCATTTTATTCATCTTTTTTTCTTAGAAACTGTGTGTACATATGAGCAATTCATGTAATTAACATTACAAGATCATTTTATTTGCTGTACATTAGAAACTATCTGTGCTAGCAGACTGTAATCCCACATAGCAAAGGCAGTAAAGTCCACTTTCTCTTGCTTAAACTCGGTTAGACACACTTTCCCCTGAAAACCTTTCTTTCATGTTTAATTGTGTTTCTGTGTCAATATTTAAACTGAATTTGCATAAGCTGTTGTAAACTGAAGACTTCCTTCAAACGAGGCTTCAACTTCACACTGAAGTGACTGTAGTTAGTTACAGATTTCACTAGTTTGTTGACATCCATTGCAATTAGGACTGTCAAATCAAACTCTTCAGGCTTGACGCTAAATTGTACAGAGCTTGCAGCAAAAGGAAGAAAACATACTCATTAAGATGCCATCACTCTAACAAGTCAGTGCTAATGTTCCATACTCATATGACCCCCTATTCTGTGAATATATTGTAGATAGTTCTGGCACATTGTTCACATCATTAAATCTCACTGTTATTGTTACTGAACTTTGACCGTTGCATCAATGTAGCAGTTCTTCACACTAGTGGAATGTGGTGACTTTCATAGAAAGACAAACAAAGACGATGACAAAATGACAAGAAAATGTAGAAACTTTAAATCAAAAATCTATCCATCAATTTTCTAGCATGTATCTGCATTTCATCCAGGTGAACACCAAGGTGATCTCAGGCCATCCGAGAGATCTCCAGTATATCCTATCCTGGCGACTTTTCCTTCCAGGACATGCCTGGAACACCTCACCTAGGAGAAGCCCAGGAAGCATCCTGGTCAAATGGAAAATGATCTCAGCAGGCTTCTTTTGATGTTCAGGAGTAGTGGATCTACTCTGATCCCTCCCAAATGACTAAACTCCTCACCCTATAGCTAAGGGAGAGCCACCCTTCAGAGGAAGCCCATTTGTGCCATTACCATCCATGATCTCATTCTTTTCGTCACTACCTACAGCTCATGTAGGTGGTATTTAACTTACAATATAAAGTTCCTCGAGGTAACTGTTGCTGTAATTTGGCACGAAGTAAATACAATCGTACTGAATTAAACATGGGTTGCTTTTACGCTCAGCCTTCTCTTCACCACCATAGATCAGTGTCGCATCCACATCCAGGGATTAAAAATATTAGTGAAAAATAAAGGTGGTGTATTAGTAAAACAGCTAAACTTACTGCAATGAGTCAACCAAATTGTTTCTCATATATGCTAATGTTATAATGCGGATGCAGCCATTCAGCCACACATTTTCTTGGTTAATGTTCCAAAGGAGTTCCTGATCCTGCACAATAATTCCTCCACATCACATGCTGGTCAAGGTGGTTAGTGTTAGGATGTTTTGAGTTTATTATATTATTTATCATTTCTAGTCTTTGGTTTCTTTGTTGGAGTTCTGTCTTATGGTTTATGTCTCTGTGTAATCCTTAGTTGCTGTCTCCCCTGTCTGCTCTGTGTCTGTAAGTTCAGTCTGTGTTATGTTTCCTGTTTTACTTTGAAAGTCCGTCTCTCATGTAAATGCGTCTGGTTTTGCTTCCTTTGTCTCGTTAGGCCTGATTTGCCCAGCTGTGTTTCCCTCCTGTTGCCCATTCCCTGATTGCTCCTCTGTGTATTTAAGCCCCGTGTTTCAGTTTGTTGGTGTTGTGATCTACCCTCGTCTTGCTGTGGTTTGTCTGCGTAAGCTTATTTTGTATTCCTAGTTTTGTTATCCTTCTGAGTTCAGCATTAAAGCTGTTTTGAGTTCACGTTTCGTTTCCGTGAGTCTACATTTTGGGTCCACCATGCCTGCCTGCACACAGCCGTCACATGACAGTTAGTGAGAGAAACGTATGCGTTAAGATGATAAATCATTGAAGATTATTCACTTGTTAATGTGAGCTGCAAAAACAACCAAAAAAAGCAGCTGGACTCTCAGCTCGAGCTCGAGCTTTTGTGAAAGGGATATGGGAACACCCATCAAAACAACAGGCACTACAGATTTCAGTGGAGTAGAGTTCACTTTATGGTATATGACATTTTATAGGACGACTACTGTACAACAAAGAATGCACAAGACTATTAGTAAAGGTAACTGAAAGCTAAAATGTAAAAGATATAATGGCAGATTCTGGTCATTAACACCCACATAGTTAAATAACGTCCCCTCTCTGCTGGCAGTACCAATTTTGCTCATACAATAGCAGTTCTTATAATTACATCTACAACATTCAACTCTATGATAAACTTCCTTCAAGAATTTAAAATTTTTTTTATATATATATAATTTTTTTTCAGTTTTTGCTCAAATGAATTAGATTTTTTTTTTATTTTATCCAAAGAAATACTGACAGAAAAGTTGATTTTTCAGATATGAAAAAAAAGTCTTCTATGAGGAAATATACTGATTAATAATAAGCTAGCAAAACAGGCTAACCACAGGCAGGTCTCTTCAGTGTAACATGTATTGAACATAATTAAATGGCACAGCAGTGCTTTAGACAGTATTACATATATACATTTACCCAGTACATTCGTGCATCATGACTCACTGAGAGCATTGTACATTTAAATTAATTCAAAAACTTCATTTCATGTGTTAACTTTGTGGTTATCAACAATAATCACAACCCGGGCTCAAAAACATGACTTCAATAATTACATTTAACTGTGCAAAATATCCTTCTAATCTAAGTGAATGCAATCTAACTTTAATGCGTAAATTGAAAATAATGTTGAGTCAAAGACACTTGAAACATTTCCCAGTTTTTGTGGCATCAGTTACGTGACTTTCATCTGTGTGTTTGGGTCCAGCAGAGAGCTCGCGCTTCCCTGTCAGAAAAAGCCGAGCACTGCACAAGTTTTTGTTCTGCAGCAAAGCCGCAGCTTCATTCCGTGCTTTGACTTTCAAATGAAGCTCTTGACTGTCTGATACCCAGGGGAACATAATAAATCAGTCAATGGGAGGTTTATCTGTTCCTCAGTGGGATGACCTCCCATTCATCTCCATGTACTGGGGATGAAGGTTCCTCTTAGGACCAGCTTAGGGAACCACAAACAATAGAAAACAAAAGGTCAGCAAGTATAACCGAGAAAATGTGAACCGAAGTTACTCTGATGGGGTCTGGCGAGCTGAGGCACGTTCACCACTGGGATGTCCTCTGCAGACCATGCCCCTGCAAAAATAAGAAAGAAATTACTTGTTTTTTGGTGTTATATACCCTCTGAAGGATTCAAAAGTGTTCAGCTTGCTCACTAATGGAGGATATCGTCAGCATGAGTTACATGATCACTGGCAGCCACTCCCTAGTTTCCCTTTTGCACCCTTTGTGGGTTTATTACAGTTTTGTTTGCTTATTCTTTTACATAATGTAAGAGTATTAGTCAGTGGAACCGACAACCATTTCCTTTTGCATTGACATTTGCACACCTCCTATATTGCTCCGCCACCATCGCTGAAACCGAGCTCGTCCTAAAGCTAATAAAAATTGAACAACAGCTACATTTGTGTGTCTCAAAGTTTCACAGGACTGTTTTGTGTTTACCTTTGCTTTTCACACACTGTCTTGTAGGGTTTATTTACCTATCCCATTTGGTGTAAAATAACTGTCTGAATTATAATACTACTACTACTACTACTAATAATAATAATAATAATACATTTTATTTATAGGCACCTCTAAGACCCTCAAGGTCACCTTACAATAACACAAGAAAAATAGTAGCAATAAAATCTAATACACATGGCAAAATAAAATTTAGACATAAGGTAACCCCCCAAAAAAAACCCCCCAAAAAAAAAAAAAAAAAAAAAAAAAAACCCCCCCCCACAAGCATAAAAGTATAAAAGCTGAGCATGATAAAAACGAACTTAGACATTACTCTCATAACAAGAGCTTTTTGATGTTTATCACTACATTAAGAGTTATTACTTCTATAAAAATGATCACTTTTTATAGCCACGCTGACAGAACTGCATCTTATCTGTTTTGCATTTATTGAATCTGTTTTGTTCTTTCGTTTGTCGTCACACTTTGTAAAGAACAGAAACTTATTCAAGTTACATTTTTAGGGTTACTTGTAGAACTTGCAAATAAAACAACTTTTATAAAGGTCTAAAAAAAACCTACGGATACAAACTAACCTGAACCTGACTGGATGTTGAAAAACTAAAGAAATATTTATAGAAACTTAAAAATAACAAACTGACTGGAAACCACTCACATGCTCATGTTTTACTTAAAACATGGCAGCACGTGCGTGGCTGTTTTTCTTTGCAAATCTAAAAACCAAAACAAACCAGCAACACTTCTAATGACACGCTCACAGTCCCACCTGCATATAGATATCATGACTTCCTGCAAACAAATCCTAAGCACTCCTGAAAAAGTCTAAATGCATATTTTAAGTCAATCTCTACATTAACTAATGCAATTATATTAAATAAAGGTGACAACGAAAAGTCTAATTTTGCGTTTTTGTAGCCCATGAACATTGAAACATTAGCTGCCTTCCTCCATGAATGAGAGAGCTGCACACATTTCAGAGACACCTTTAAAGCCTTTAGGCAAGAATTTCACTTTTTTTTAAAGATAAATGACAAACAGTGAAAACCAGTCCCCCAAATCAAGCACTACCTTTCTCATCAACATCTTTTTCTTTGATTATTTCCCAGAGGAATGACACAAGAAGTACAGAGTGCGCTCAGTCCAGGAGCATATGCACAGAAGAGGCAGACACAAGGCCTATAGAGAGTGAACGGCGCAAGATAAGAAAAAAAAATCCAGACAAAGAAGTGATTCATAGTCAACCTGTAGAAGAAGTTGCTATGGATACAGCAGGACCTGAGAGGTCGGAAATGAGCAGAGGCCACGAAGAGAAAAGCATCTGGAGTCAAGCAGGTGATAAAGAGGAGAACTGCAGAGTGACGAAGGAGGCGAGTCAGCTGCTTTCGACCTACACTTGTGTGTGCGTGCTGTGTTCCCGGTCTCCTTTTATGTTGACGGTGTGCTGCTCCCGCTGTTGGCCGCAGAGCCAATGGAAGCTCTGGGAATGAAGATGTCAAAGGACGGGTCTGGTAGCTGCTGCTGTGTGAAGTCATAACAAGGCCGTGACAAAAACATCCAAGAATAGGGACGCAGTGTGTTCACAACTGCCTGCTTGAATTCAAATGACTTCATAAAGCTTTTACATGAAACATAACCGTCATGCCTTTGGTGGTTCACTGCATTTAAAAACAAACGGGTCATTTAAAAAAAAACCTTTCACAGAAACCGCATACTAACTCTTGAGATATTTCCGCAGCAGGTACCGGACATTTGAAAAAGTATGACAGAGCTGACTTTATTTTTCTTGCAAAGGAAGCGGCACAGAAAGGAAAAATATACTAAAACCTTTCAGGATAATAGATTTTATGCATGCACAACTGTAGCATTAACTATTTAGATAGCTGCCAGGATTTTGAGTTAACTGGGAACTCTGTGTTTTCCACTAAATAAACCCTGACTGCACTGATACTACACTCAAAATGCATTTGAATGGTGACCTTGTATACAAAGTCATTAAGGGACTCAGTCTCACTTTCCAGCACTTACTCAGATACCACTGACATAAACACTGTATAAAAAAAGCTTCTGTCACAGATTTTACTTCATAATTTGTATAAAACGTGGACATTCGGTTTAATTTGCAGCAGGGGCGATTCTCTTTTATGGTTAGACAAAAAAGTTACATTACATAACTTCGGTCATTGTGGATGTGTGACAATATCGGATCAAGTGAATAACGCCCTGATATCCCGGTGTTGGTGTTAGTTGTGGAACATGGGGGCAAAAAATATATATAAAAGGCTCTTTTGGAACAAATGGTCAGCATGTCGAGTGTTTTCTTTATTCATTTATGGAGTATAATAAATATTTCATCAAGTTAGATTTGCTGTTAGCCAAATTGATATTAGTCATGTTAGAAAGTTTTTAACAGTTAACTTCTTTGCTAATGCTAACTGCTCAGCCAATGTGATTGGTCAGTTGCAACGTTGATCCTGGACCAAAACTGTTATGATGACATAGGAACAGCACCAGCGTGGGGAAATCTGATTGTGCCCATGCAAACAGGCAAACAGGCCTACAGACCGATCCACGACCATCTAGTAACCAAAGGTAGTAGGAAAAATGAGCATTCCCTGAGATTGTTGTGATTGGTTGCTGGGGACTGAGAGCAGAAAATGATTGCCTAGAAAAACTACAGGCAACAAAATCAGTCTCAAGGAGGTTTCTGGTGCAACAGATTTCATCCACTGACAGCCAGAAACCTCCAACTACTGCCAACCAGCCATTTCACTAGCAACCGGGGGTTATATCACATGCAATATGGTGGACAACGTTAGCTCGTTCAGTTACTTTAATCTGTGACCTCATTGCACCAATTTTAAAGAGCTTGTGATATTAGTCAGTAGTTTCAGGCCTCACAAGCTGACTGGATGTTTATTTTGTGTCCTTATTACTACAGTTTAGTTTAAGGTGGGTCTAAATTATTACTGAGTTGGGTAAGTCTCTCATTTATATACAGACTGTGGTCAGAAGTTGAAAATCTTCCCATGTGACCTCTGCGCTTTTGCTTTTCTAAGAAGAACAAGTGCTCTTTAGTCACAAGGTTGGCTCAACCCTAAAGCGTACCTGGTGTTGTGGTTTTTACAGACACTAACGGTGCGCATAATTTACAAAATACATGCCATTTTGAATCTAGTGATGATATAATGCACTTTTTTCTAGAACCCGAGGAAACGCCTCCAGCTGGATGTTTAACCCCTGGCATCTGTGACATTAGAATTAAAGCTGTGATTTAGGCCACACGTGCTCCTGACAACTTTTAAATGTCCACCTGCTTTATTCATTCTCCCATTTTCCTTTGCCTGTTGTTAATTAAAATGCAAATATGGACTAAAGTACCTTGGAAGTGATGGTTGCTGGTGTTATGTGTATGTGGTGTTGATGAGGTTTTCACGCTCTGTAAAAGGTTACTGTCACCACTTATTTCCATAAAAATTTGCCTAGTGCAGGAGACAGGTATGTGTGCGAGTGGAGTGGTCATATTCAAATGTGTTTTTCTGTGAATGTATCACTTTTATACTCACATTTCCAACTCCTTTGCTGATGAGAGCCAGCTCAGTGGGCTGGTACACCGAGTTACGCATCTGACCGGTGTAGCCGCTGTATGGAGACACGGGCTTGGAATCTGTGATGAACAGATATAAGAAAATAAATCTTTTAATCACCCAACAATCAGTGTGTGATATCTGTGGCCCTCTTAAGTGCTACCTGGCAATAATCCCCTTCATCTTCATATTACAACCTGCCTGCCCTCCATCTTTTACAAAGTGCCCTGCAGAGATGGCACTATATAACTAACCCCCATATTAAACAGTTGCCACACCTTTGTCGCCGTGGAGACAGCGCAAACAGATGACGTAATGATTCTAGTGGGAGTGATACAGCATTCACAGATGCAGTCAGACACTTATTAACAAGAATGATTCAGAAGGTAAGATTTTAGGTGGGAATGATGATATTCAGTTAATGGCAGTTTAGTCATACTGTAAGACTTAATGTAAGTTAATGATTACAGTCAAATGTGCTCAAAGCAAATTCTGAGACTTTTTATGACACACATTAGTCTGTGCTAATCAGGAAAAATGTAAGAGGCAGAACCTCCTCTGCATTCTTACACATTGTGCTTATCTGTATAGTAACATATTTTCCTTACAATAGAATAGCACAAAGCCAAAGCTACTCTTTCTACCTCTACATCACAGCTACCTAATAATACAAAAAAGTCCCTTACAGCTTATAAGCAGAGACACATCACCATCCTTGCTACAAAGAACCATCTTCCATTAGCGATCTGTGATAACTATCAGACTTACTGCTCTGATCCTTTGGACTGAGCTCAGATCAGCAGATCAGATTCTGTGGTGTCATCATGTGGACAGAAAACAACCTTTCAGGACATTTTGCTGCATATTTTGTTTGTTCTTGTGTTTTCGAGGGCTAGAAAACATTCATTCATCAGCGCAAGGTCATCGTGAGAGGCAGAGTTTGTAATAACACTAAAGCGAACCTCATAAGGATGGCTATTGTCTGAAAACGTGTCAGGGTGAATGCACTGAAGAGCTCAGACACCGTTCGGTTTGCAGACAAATAGCTGACCGGGGAAATGTTTGCCTTTAGGAAACAAACCGAGCGTAGCTGCTCTGAAGAACTTTTATTTCACGGTCATATTGTATATGGCTGCTGCAGGAAAATCAGGAATATTTGATTTGGTTTTATTGCTGCTATGTAAATGTTATTGCATCATATTCAAGGAAATAAAAGACGGAGCTAAACTACCACCAGAAACATCAGCTCCACTTTGCTTTGATGAAACAAATAACACTGAATACCTCGAGGCAACACAACATTTCTTCTTGGAAATTACAAGGACAAAATCACCCCAGCTTGTAGGCTTTATCTCTTTCACAAAGGAGAGAAGATGAATCGATGAATTCATGTATTGCCCAAATCCAAATGATTTTTAGTGTTTTTCTTGTTTGCCTTAAACTGGCCTTGATGTGAGATCCACAGGTTTACCCAATCATAGCTTATAAATTCCAAAACATGATTTTTAAACTTTAGACTAGTTTTAAGTTTGAGAATTGTAAGTTTGTAAAAATGTGACATTGAGTCATTCATGAATTCATCTATTCAGTAAAAAATCACCGAAACATCCATAAAAAAATCTGTAAACTGTATTTTAAACAGTCTTAAGCACTTGGAGAACTGATCTCACGTGTTGGTTTTGACATTTATGTACTCATTTTTTATACTCTTATAATCCCCCTTGTCAAAATTATGCTCAGTCTTGTGTTCCTCATCTAATTTTAGGTCTTTTGACTGGTTGTCATTTTGACCACTGTAATCAGCTTTGGGTCTATTTGTCCTGGGACCCTTTTAAATGATGCGTCCTATCTGAAGGTCTATTTTGGACAAGGTGCAAAATTGTGAAGCCATAAAGACTCATGACGATGTTACAATCCCTTTATAACAGTTGAAAAAACCCTTCAAAGTTAAGCGTACTTGTGAAGTTGCTTGTTTGAAGGTTTTCTACAGCAACTCCAAGGCTAAGCTACATACCTTGGTTGGACTCGTCCATGGAGAAAGCCTTATTTTCCACATACACATTCTGGGAGGATTGTCCCTTCAGGATCGTCTCGTATCCGACTCCTTGGTTTTGGCAAAGATCTTCTGTGTAGTCTTGTTGACTCTCATCGTCACTGTTCAGACAGCAGACGTCAGGAATGGTGTACATGATAATGAAGACCCAGGCGTTTGCTACCAAAGCGATGGCTAAGGTTGGGTCATCCCACGTTGGACCCCCGGTTTTCCCATTCCCATACACGTACATGACGATCCACGCCACCCAAATACCCACTGAAAAGAGGCTTGTCACAAGGATGCAAGCGCCTTCCTTCTTCCACTGTGCGTGTTTGCCCATCATGATGGTCAGACTCGCCACCACCACAGCCAGGATCAGCACCATCACGTAGATGAGCGCCATGACAAAGTCCTCGTTAGCAATGTCACAAGGCACGGCTATAGCTTTGCTAGTTTGAGCTGTGGTGTTGGAAGGCACAATTGTAATTATCAGCCATTCTGTGTTGATGATCACCTCCACCAGCCACAGCCCCAACGCCCCAAGACACAAGACCCAAACTCGAGGCCCGCTGTTTCGTCTGGCCAGGATGTTCAGCCTCACACACTGCATCAGCTGGGAGGCGAAGCAGCCGCTGAACAGCACCCCAAAGAGGAACCTCCGTGAAGCACATGTGGAGAAGTTCTCTCCCACGATGAAGGCAAAGGTTAGGCAGAAGAGACCAGCAGTGCAGATCAGGAAGAAGGCGTGAAGAGCTACCGAGCTCTTGCGGTTGTAGTCTTTATGGAAGGGCAGGCTGGCCAGCAGCGAGATGAAGAGCACGAAGGAGAAGACGATGCCAGCTGCCGCTAAGGCCTCCAGCACGATGCCCCATGCAGCTTCAGTGCTACACAGATTGTAATAAATGGAATCCACGTTTGGGCCACAGCCCTTAGGAGTACTGTTGCTGGCCATGGAGCCTGGGAGTTGCTCTGGGACTCTAGCAGCACCTGTTCAGATGGACAAACAGGGAATGTCTGGGAGAGACACGATAGGGACAGATTTGAACAAAGGGCTAAACCACGTCACCAAAGCTACATTAGGATACAGTTGTCTACACCCAGCTGAGCAAATATCACACTTGCATGAGTCAACGTCGTCATGTTATCCTGGAAAACGTTCTATAAAAAGGTGCTTTGCTTTTATTTAGAGCTTCAGAGAATCAGGGATCTGCAGTCACACTCCAAAAATGTGGGAGGAATGTCACTGCTGGGCTTTTTCCCAACTCTAATGTTAATGATTAACACATCTGTCAACAGACATTGTTTCTGCACATTTACACAACAGTGAGGAAAAAGTGCGTTGAACCTGAGGCTCACCTGCTAAAACTCAGTCAACTCAAATCTAAAGGTTTTGCTTTTTAGTGTTTTCTGCTGAATTACATAAAATCTGAGCATCTGTTTTGTGAATAAACATCTCTGCAATCCTGGTTTTGTCTTTCTGCCTCGTCTGGCTGTTTCTTTTCGTCCCTATCAGATCCAATTACACCAAACTGAGGACGGTCTCTGAGTCAAATCGATAGATGCGGCATGCGGACATTCGGTCTTTCTGACCTTCTGTTACTCAATCAGGAAGACGGATCTTTCTGGAACAAAGAGGCAAATATATTCTTTTTCTACATGTCCTCCACTCTGTCACTCCTCAAACAGACAGAATTAACTAATACATTTACTCCCAGTTTCAGGGCGTGACCACTGATCAAACAAAGTTCTTAGACCGTTCATTTTAATATTTGTTGAGTTGTTTTTTGTAACTGTTGCCAGGGGAAATATTATAAGCATATTTAAGGCGCATCTTCAATTTCAATACTTTGGTTTTCTAAACTTTTTAGGCCTTTTTTGAGGATTTTTGTGCCGGTGAAACTTTAGAGAATGTCAAATGATGTCTTGCCAGAGTCGGCCTGGCAAAGACTCCAACACAGTCTGATGGCTATCTTTGGAAAATGTGAAGAGGGGCATACATTTCATAAATGTGACATCTTTTTCATACTACAGCAATAAAGTAAAAACAATCAAATAACAAAGAAGTTCCTGTTTTTTGACTATATACTAAAGAAATATCTATTTTTTTCTATTTTTCTGTGAATTAGAAAAATTGTCCAACTTTATACTAACAGGCCATTCTGGACAATGAGATACCAGACTTTTTGTAATTCTGGACATTAACTGCTTTAATTTTAAGAATTTAAGTCATGCTGACAGGTTTCTTTCATTTCTTTCAGCAGCATTTCTTTATCATGTGGAAAAACTGAGACGTACTGTTGACATTGCACTTATTTTTCTTATATTGAGATATCCCAGGGTTTAAATGTGAAGTTAAGTTCCTTCACACTCACAGAAAGTGGATTTTCACCCGTTCGACCCACTTAGGATCAAAGTGGAGTATATGCGGCCTACATCCCTGAATTAATACAAGACATTGAATCTGATTGTTGCAATAACTGGAAATGTAACCACAGAAATGTAATCTGTAAAGTGGATTTTCAAGAGTCAAAAGGTTCTTCAGTTTTCTCTAACTTATGATATATGTTTAGCTACTTTACCACAAACTCGCACAGGTAAAACCTACTTTGTGCGCCTCCAGATGACTCAATAGGGCTTCTACACTTTGACCAGCACAGACAAAACATACACTCCAGGTACAAAATCTAACATCCAAACTCATACTCCTCTACTCCTTTAAACTCTTATATGGCCTTTTTAATGAAGTCTACTAATCCTATTCACTGTAGCTTTAAAAAACGTCTATATGAAGAAAGAAGCCACTTATAACAGTAAGAATAACTCAGTGAGTCAAAATTAAGAGGTGACACTAAAATGGGACGACAAGTTTACCATTACTATACTACAAGCCAAGTGCCAGACACAATACTGCGACTGAAGGTAATACATATTGCATCCTGCACTTTAATCTATTTGCTGTGGTCCTGTCCTCAGGTCTAGGTATAACTCTGTCGTGTATTTCTCGTACTGATATCTAACCTTATCGTGAGCCCATGGGATCACAGGAGTGGGTTTTCCATCAGGAAAATGAACTGAAGAGTATGCTGCAATTCGGGATGAACTCTACTTAAATCTGATTTTCTACATTATGCAACTGAATCTTTCTTACATTCTCTACCCCTCCTTTCAGCTGTACAATCAAACACAACAATGTATAACTTAAGCATTTGAAAGCACGAGCTAACGTGTCTAACTGTTGATTTCTCCCTAAACACAGCTATTTAAAATCTATTTTAATAGAATTGTTTTCAGTGAATAACTTTTCTTTAGTTGTTAATTTAGTGGCACAAACGGTCTTCCATAAACGATCCCCTGCTCTCTCTGTCTAAAAACACAGAAAATATAGAAATCAATCTGACGCAAAGCTCAGAAACAGGCAGTAAAGCTTCAGTGAGCGTGAATAAAGGCTGTGATGGCTGTGAGGAGTTTAACTACCTGGCTGTTCTCGGCAGATTTCTGCTGGGCGCGGCTCGTTGGTTTTCACCTGCTGCTATAGTTGGGCACAAATTACACGGAGAAGAAGCAAACTGCGGCACAGCTGATCCGACCGCTCCCAAGTTTAGGAATCCTTTCACGAGCTTTTCCTCTCGGTGTGACTACAGTCATCCCCACTCCACCTCTCCCCTCTTCGTCTCTCCGAGCACGCACGGAGACGCACACGCGCGCACTGCTGTTCATCACTTCAAAGGACACTACAGCGACCTACCCGCACTTCCGGGAGACTTACAACCCACGAATGATTTTCTTAAAGCGTTTATGGCCCGGCAGTATCTGATTTGTATCAAATATTCTAGGATATTATGTATCATGTTACACAGCTTGAAGCACAAATATCCGTAAAACCAGGTCACGAACAGTCTTTAAAATATTGTTTGATATTAATGAATCACATCCTAACACACTGAATGTTATTGACTCCTATCTGTTGTAGCGTCAAGGCTACAGCTGCCCTGTAAATCAAACACATTTTAAAAACTTTAAAAAACGGCAGAAGTCGGGCCTCGGTGTTAGAAATGCGTGCAGATTAGTGCAGGGCACACTGGGCATGTGCAGCAGCAGCTACAGGCGAAAAAAGGAGTAAATACTGTTTTGTGTAAATAACTCATTTGCAAAGAAATTTAGACTCTTGATAGAAGTCATTATCATACTCTGCAAACGTTTTTAACAACAAAATACAGCTAAAATAAAAGTATTTTCTCACTTGTGGCCCCCTTCACAGTAATGACCATGTTTTTCTCCAGTGAAAGGCCACTCAGTTCTGTATGAGTACCTCACACCTTAAATGACACCGTTTCTATTTGTTTCCTCTGAAAGGCTTCCACACAGAAGCTGTGAGCTCAGCCAATTTCAGCGTCAGCCTTCAGTCATGGGAACAGTTTCTGTTTTATTGCTTTATGGTGGTAGCTTCCAGGACACTGCCACATTTTCCCCACTGAAAGCGTCCCTGTAAGGGTCACACACAGAGGCTCAGTATAGGCCATTTTATGTGGCTCTGCTCACAACCAGCTCTTAAGTCACTCTTCCACTGATAATGATAAACAGACATTTTGAGTGAACAGCTGGGCTACCTGAACGTGTGAGTGGTGTGTAGAGACATCTAGTGGAGGATTCGAAGAATTCAGCAGCAGGTGAAGGACGCCAACACCTGCAAGTGTTTATTTCTACAAATCATCTTTAAGAATCTCTCCTCCAATCTCCTTTGCAGAAAATCTGAATGCAGTCCTGTGAAAAAAAGAATTTTTTTGCGTTTTTCATGGGAAAAATGTACTTCTAATCAATTGATTAACAGTTCATTATCAACTGTTAGCACCTCTGTAGAGGTTTTGGCAGTTTGTTGGTCTGAAGCATTCAGGTGTGTGTTAACACACCCAGGAGTGGACATCCCAGCAAATTCACCCGAAGGTTATACTGTGCAATGCTCAGAGATACTTCAAAAAGATAAGATGCTATATACAATATGAGTATAATACAACGATGCCAGAAAGAGTATTGCACTTAGTGTTATTGCACATGTGTGGATGTGTGTGTTTGATCAGTTGAAGTCTTTGTTGTGGAGTCTGACAGCAGTGGGGAGGAAAGACCTGCAAAATCTCTCCGTCCCACACCGTGGGTGCAGCTGCCACTGAAGGAGCTGCTCAGTGCTGTCACAGTCTCCCGCATGGGGTGGGAGATGTTGTCCAACAGGGATGACAGCTTAGCCACCATTCTCCTGTCACTCAAAACCTCCACTGGGGCCAGAAGGCATCCTAGAACAGAGCTGGCCCTGCGGATCAGCCTGTTCAGTCTCTTCCTGTCCCCGGCAGAGTGGTTGCCGCCCCAGCAGACGACACCATAAAAGATGGCTGAGGCCACCACATTTCTTTTCTTCATTATTCATTCGTCATTTCATTTTTAGTTTCTTGACCATCAAATGAAAATAAAAAACAGTAAATCCAGGTAAAGCAAATAAATAAAAGTAAATCAGAATTCAATAAAGACGAAGCACAATTTCATATTAAATGGTGGATGTGATAAGCTGCCAGTTTGCCCAAATTTGGACAATTCAAGAAAAGCTTTTATTTTATTTTGCTGTCTGGCAATACCTCTGTTAGCCCAGAGAGGGCAGCAAGCTCCTTTTCTGCTCATTCTCAATCATTTTAATGCAGCTTCACAGATAAAAAGAGCTGCTGTGGTTAGCACTGCGGCCTCACAGTAAGAAGCTCCAGCTTCCTCATGCAGTCCAAAGACATGTATATTAGGTCCATTACCGGTTCTAAATCACCCGTGGATGTGAGAGTATGAGGCAGCCTGCCTCTTTGCGATGCCCTGTGACCAGTGGAGCCGGTGACCTGTCCTGGGTCAGGCTACAGCCCACCTGGAGCAACGAGCTCGCTCTGTAGTTCAGAAAAAGGATGGACTCTGATAATATAATACATTCTGACTGTTACATTGTTGCAACTGCAGCCAAAATGTCAACACTTTTATTATTTAAAGCCTCAACATTTAAGGACATAAGCTAGAAATTCTTAAAAGCTCTTCCCCAGTAACAGAATGTTTTGATGCTCGCTGCAGGTGAAAAATGTGCATTTATGTGCTATAATCAACCCTCTGTGACTCTCATGGAGTAAAAAAAAACAACCTCTTTTGAAATCGATGTGTAAGCGCTGACAGTACAGGTGAAGAATTAGGTGCATGTGAGGTTTTGGGGGAATGATTAAAAGCCCAGTCCACACAGACCCTCATGCTTATAAATCACCTTCTGATGCTTCCTGCCTCATTTACCCTTAGTGAGGCTGCTGGCTTCTTTATTCACGATTCTCATTCTCACTCTTCAGCTCCTCCATCTGGCTATCACTGATAAGAATTATGCTTTCAGTTTTCCATTCTCTAAAATTAGGTCCTTCACCTGGCCTTGGAACCAAACAGTTTTTCTTTGAGAACTAAACATCTCCTTGCTTCCTTCCAGCAGAGCCCTGGTGTCCATCAGTTGTCTGTTTCCAGATAAAGATCAGACATATTTTGTTAAAGCGAATCCCTGCAGAGGTAGTGATGCATTATTCTTTGTTCTGGCAAACCCCATTTCATCACTCTGATTTCTTTCTCTTATTTCAACAGGATATTAAATCTGAAACCGAAAGAAAAAGTCAGAGTGCAGACAGATAAAGTAAAGACAGATTAAAATAATTATTCGGATTCACTGTGCTGGACTAAAAAGTGCCCATAAAACCTATTTTATCACCTGGCATCTTCCTTTATTACTAATATGATCAAAAGCTATTATTATTATTATTATTACTATTATTATGACAAGGCCAGATTTCAAACAAGCTCTTTTCGTCTGAATGTCCAGATTGAAATTAACACCTGAAACTACACAATGGAAATTAAACTGCACTGATCCTTTGTTAAACCTTTATTTTCCCTCCATATGAAACTACCCCAGTGTTTACGTGCAGGATCAAACCAACATGCACTCATTGTCTTTAGATTCAAAGTCATGGACATTTAAAAAGTCGTTTTTTTTCTTGAGTGGATGTTGTGTGGCAGAAACTCCTATCATCAAAGCATAAAATTATTAATGATGAAAGGCTGAAATCAAGCTGAATGCAAGTCTTTGCAACAGCTTAGCATTTTTTAGCACCAGCAACCTCAGGGAAAAGTGAATGAAATGTCTTTTGGCCAGTGTTACTTCCTGCATTGCTACTGAAACTACATAAAATCTGAACTTTTCTTTAAGTAAGTAAATTGGGCAAACTTCCTCCCTTTGTTGTGTAGTGTAAACTTCCTGTGTTTATTGCATAAGTGCATCTGATAGGACGCCATCACTCTCTGCTGTGCTCTGTCTTTTCATTTGATTCCTTGTGACACCTGCTAAGCAACAGGAAGGGCTCAATAGGAGCAGAGTGGGGGGCCATCAGCAGGTGTTTGAACAGGCACAAAGGACAGGTGTCAGGCAGACGGGGGCCGTGTGGCTGCCGGGGTTTACCTCCTCTACAATGCCCTTCCCCCAGCGTCACCGCTCTGCTGCCTAATACGATCAGCAGCAGCTCTGTTCGAGTAAATCAAAGCCTGCTTGGACATCTTTGCGCTGTGTTATGTTTGATCATTCATCTCTGACTCCCACTCTCATCACCACCGTAAGGTTGCTGCCACCACACGCTCTCTCTCACCCCCCTCTGCTGTTGTGAGGCAGCAGGAGTCATCTTCAAAGAAACCGTTTGTATCTGCATCTCCGTACGAACTCTCAGAACTCAGCGTGAGCCGACAGCAGGGCCACATGAGCCTGCTGGTGGGGCTCTAACGCTGCGTCATGTACCGTTACAGTAAACACGGCGAAGACTCAGGATGGACGAGGGTCAGCAGGGGGCTTGGATTAGAAACTTTTAACCTGAAAGGATGGCCAGATGTACAAACCCAGTGTGCACATCTGGGATTTTGTATTAAGTGTAAATAAAAACAGAATCCTGTGAGTCACAAATCTCATAAACCCATATTTGATTCACAATAGAGCACAGAACACACATCAAATGTTTGAAAGAAGAAAATGTTCCATTCCCAGAAAAGTATTTACTCAATTTTTAATTGGATGGTAGCAAAAAAGGTGGGATGGGGAAATAAAAAGCTGGAAAAGAGCTGGAGGAACATTTTGCAGCCAATGGTGTTAATTAGCAGCAGGTCATTAGCATGACTGGGTATAAAAGGAACGTGTTAGAGAGGAAAACTGCATCTACGACTTGTAGAACAATTTAAGAAATAATGATTTTTGATGTAAAATTGCAAAGACTTTAAATGTCTGTGGTAGACAGTATCAGCCACAGTACATCTGTCTGTGAACAAGAGACAAGGCCAGAAATAAACCGTAGATGTCCATGATCTTCAAGCCCTCGAGCAGCACTGCACCAAAAACAGACACGCACGGGCTCAGAAACACAGCTGACCGTGTCGTCCACAAATGCAGGTTAAAGCTCCATCATGCCACTAATAAGTGAACATGAACGTTCCAGAAACACCGTCATCTTCTCGGGACCAAAGCTAATTTAAAACGGACTGAGGCAACATGATCCATGCTGTCCAGCCTAAAGAACAGGGTGACCAGCTTGTTTTCAGCACTCGGTTCAAAGGTACAAGGGTGCATTAATTCCTGCGCACATCTGGAAAGGCACCATCATGGCTGAAGTGTATATACAGGTTGTGTCACTGCCATCAATTCAAAATATTTAGGAATATTTTTCCTAAAAAATGAACTTTTTTAGGAAAAACATTTGATGTTTGTGTCTGGCACTGTGAGCATATCTGGGTTTGCAAATCACACACTCTGTTTTCCTTATGGTCAATGTAAACTTGGCCATTACTTTAGTGCTTTTCTTTATAGAAAAACACTAAACCACGAAGAAGAAGAATGTAACGAATGAATAAATTGTCATCTATATGTTGGTATGATTTGATAGTTATTGATATTTAGAGAGGTTACATTATTTATGTAGCCCACACACGTTCACTAATAACGTTGTCACAGTCACTACTGCAGATACTGATGTCAGTGTGTCTTTGACTGCTCTCTCAGATCTGCCACTCATCTTGTTGTTCCCTCTGCTCGTCTCATCACTGTGGGGCACAGAGCTTTCAGTCGCTCTGCTCCTCGGCTCTGGAGCTCACTTCCTTCAGTCTTAAGAAATATAGATTCTCTTCTCTTATTTAAGTCACAGCTCAAAACCTACTTGTTTAAACTGGCTCGCTCGCTTTAATACAGATCTTACTTACTTTTCAAAACTTGTTTATTTGGGTTTTTTTTGTGTTTTTCTCATTTTTATTTGTTGTTTTTTGCATTTAAATTTATTTGAATCTACAGTTGTAGTGATATCTTTTAGGTTTTAGAAAGGCACCCTCAAATAAAATGTATTATTATATTATTATTATTACATCTAGGCTCATCCATGACAGCTACCTCTGTAAACAAACTAAAAATGAATTGACAAATATGTGAGAGGACACAAAATGCATAAAATCACCAGCCTGTCTCCGGCAAAGTACAAGCAGCCACGTGGAACCCAAAAACTCTTAACATCCACACGGTCACCAGTGACCTGTTCATGGAGCTTTCAGCTCCTCTGAATCCCCAAATGAGGATTTATAAAAGAAGTCTGAGGTTAAAATTAATGTAAGGAATTTGAAAAGTAAAGTCTTTTAGTTCTTGAAACTGTTTGTTTATCATGTGGCTAAAATGCAACTGAAATCTATGTGAAGAGGTAAAAATAAAGAATGTGTGGGACATTGTTCTTTGCTCCACTGCTCAGTAGAATAAGACAGAAGCAGACCGCTCCGTCGCCTCACAGCTGAATCTCATACACCAAACATGATGCCAAGTTTACCTGATAGAAGCGGGAAGTGTTCCCACAATTACAGTTATTTGAATTTTCAACCAATTTTCAATTAGAGTATTCTGATTTCCCACAGACCCCTCCCCTCTGACCGGGTTCCCCTCTGTCACTCAATTTCAAAAGTCACACGAGTCAAGACTTCTTAACAGTTTAAATACATTTTCGATTTTTATTGAATGCAAACAGTTTTTGACCATCAAAGAAAATCCAACCACAAGAAAAAACAATTCACCAATACAAATAAAACAACTGACAAATGCATTAAGTTACACTAGTTGTTCTCATCTCTGAGCTCGTCCGTGGAAACTGATCATTTACGTGCAATTCTTGAACACTAGGATGAAATGAGGCTCCAATGTTGTTTGATGTTGAAAGCAGTGCGGAGGAAGAAAATGATTTGTTCTTTTATATCATAGTTTGTATATAAAGGCTGGAACTTCTAAGACTGCAAGTAGAAATGTGCCCTTTTGGCAACTTACATGCTAAAATGTTGCTGCCTTCACTATTCTGCAAGAGAAATACGAGCCCATTAAGCTAATTAATCATATTTAATTATTATTCAGTACCAATTTAGCTGTTTCTAATCAGTGCCGTCCTGCAGTAGGCTTACTTTAACCGGTTATACGACAGCTGTGTCAGAGTGAACTGGTATGACTGGAGCTGTGTGTGTGCAGGGAGCGAAGGCTGCTGTCGTGCACAGTGTGCAGTCCACAGAATCTCACCATCGAGGAACGAGATTCAAATACGTCCTAAATACACTTGAAATATTAGTACATAAAATATTTAAAAATGTCCATAAAATTGTACACAATTTAAACCATTTGCTGATTGTTTATTTCAGAACAGTAACTACTCTGATTTGTTTCTTTTTTCTACCATTTAAATGATTAATAAATGATTTTCCAGGAACATCCGACTGAAAATGAGGCCTCTGGTTGTAAAAACACATCTGTTTATATAAATGTCCAGGGGAAAACCTCCCTCGGCTCCCTCGTGATAGGACTTCAGTAAATAGTTTTGTGATGAGTGCACTGACTCAATCACGTATTTGAAGTCTTAATGAACACAACATCAAGCTCATTTGTAAATTACAAACAGGGGCCTGCAGTCACGTCTACCTTCAGAAGACTAAGATACCTAATGCTTTATTTTGAGGCTTTACAACTGATCTTCAGTAATCAGTGGCTGATGTCACAGTGGCTATGGTCACTTTTTATATACAGCCGATGTTTAATATATACTCTGTCATCAAAAGTGAACTACATATAAACTCTGAGAATAGAAGTCAATTCTTTGAAGGTCAACAACAGTCTTAATTTGTGCATATTTACAATTAGATGGTAGAACATTTGCAACTTTTACATCGTTTGGTGGAAATGCAGTGGCTGTGCATGCAAAAGCGTCCACGCTTCCTTGTGAGTGTAGTGTTAGTGTTAGTGCAGACTATCAGGCTAGAGCTGAGGCCACATTGGTGAGTGATACAGTTGTCTGAAAAGCAGGCCTTCACTCCTGTGGCTTAAAAAACTGAGCTTTCATTTGAGGCTTTGTCAAGTTGGATGGTTTTTAATGGCTGGGAGCACAGTGCAGTGACAGAGTCCTGTCACACTGCCTATTGATTCACTCCTTGTCTTTATACAACTGCAGAAAAAAACTGTTTATTCAACATTATCACTCTTATTCTGACATCTTTGCAGCTTCCAGAGTGAATGTCACACCACGTTACATGACCGAAGGAACAGCAACGATCACTGATTGCACTTAATATGCAAAAAGTCTTTAATATTAACATGAATCTACATCTGAGCTTACATTATTGTTCAAAAAGGGATTTTGTCCTTCTGTTTTGTTTTGTAAAAATATAAACAAATCAGTCACATTACTACCATCTATGGAAAAAAAATCTACATTTTATTTCCTCAGATTCTTCTCAAGAAAAATAAATAGGCTGTCACGTTATCTGATTTACATGGACAAACAACACGAGGTCAAACACTGTAAGACGAAAATCATGCTAAGCCGCTATCAGGCCCTCTGAGAGCGCCCCAGGGCCGACCGGTCGCTGCCCACAGTCGTAGCTGGAACACAGTACGTGTCCCTGGGGTGAGGAGTGCACCGGGACCGTGGGATGATGGGTGTTTTGGATTAAGAGGACAAGTCACAGGGTCATGAGGGCTTTCTGGCCCCATGAGGTGACAAGGGGGTGAAGTCCCGCTGAAACCGCTTGCTGTTCCCACTGTACAGAGAGGAAATGGAGGCGTTGGTGGGGACCTGCTGCTGGGGCAGAGCGCGGCGAGAGTAGAGCGGCGACCCCCTGAGCAGTATGACATCCCGCACGGCGCTGCGGAAAGGCTTACTGACGAAGCAGTAGAGGAAGAAGTTGACTGCGGTGTTGAGCATGGCCAGCATGTTGGAGAGGTCATAGGCCAGGTGGATGCGCCAGTCTCGATGAACAGTGGACACGTACAGGTGGTAGATGACCACGATGGTTCTGGGCGCCCACAGGATTGAGAACACTGAGGTGATGGCCAGCAGCATGGCCGTGGTTTTCCCGAGTCTTTGCAGTGGCGCCGACTTGGTCCCCTGCTCCTCCTGACAGCGCTGCTCTCTCTGCCTCACCCTCAGTGTGTGGATTATCAGAGAGTTCAGCACTAAGAAGATGCTGCACGGCAGGAAGTAGATGATAGTCACATGTGTCCATATGAGGACGGTGTCCAGCGCTGTGGGCGGATGGCTGTTCCTCCACATGTCTGACCACCAGAAGAAAGGCACGCCCGATACGATCGATGTTGCCAGGACCACCCCGATAATCTTCCTGGCTCGTGCCGGGTAGCTGATCTGCCGGTGGAGGAGGGGGTGGCACAGCGCCACGTAGCGGTCCACAGTGAGCGGTACGGTGGACCATATGGAAGCGTGGTTGGCTGCAAACTCGGCGACGCTGACAGAGTGCAGCAGGAGAGCGGGGACATCCCGGTGAAAAACTGCCGTCTCCAGCAGGAAGCCGACGAAGATGATGAAGAGCTGGGAGAGAATATCTGAGGCTGTCACTGCCAAGAGGTAGTAGTACAGAGCCTTCTTAGTGCGGGACGCCAGTCTGCACAAGGCCACTGCTGTGAGGATGTTTACTGGGACAAACAAAGAAGCAGAAATGAGATTAAAAGGACAAAAGTCATGAAAATAAAAGCTCTTTAAATCTGTATTTTGGAGTAGATTAATAAACCTTTTAAGAGGTTTTTATTCGATCTGACTGTTGACACTGGTGATCCCTTTTATGTCCCAGTGAATACTGAAATAAAGCAACCTAAGGATAACGGCCCAAATAATAACCCCCCCAAGATTTTCTGGCAAGCCTAGATCCTACAAGGATTTTGGTTTAGCTGCATAAAGAAATCTGTGAAATGGGAACGGTTCACTTCATCTTTTTCTTAAAAGGCAGAGAGAACAAGCGCCGGACTGTGCTGCATGTCTGCACAACTTTCAGGGAATTTGAGGGGAAATTAAATCAATATTTGGACCATTATCCCGAGTTTAAGTCCGAGACTTAAACCCAGGGGCTTTTAGGTTTTGGACCTTCTAATTCTGTTTATTATGAAATATTTTCTTTTTGATTCTTAGTTTGCGTGTTGTTTACATTTGTGGCAGGGGCTTCTTTGTGTATTTCCTCAGTCTTCTGAGTCTTTAGTTCTTAGTTCCAGTTACTGTTTATATGAATTCATTCCCTCAGTTTTCCCCGGTGTGTTTTGCTTTCATCAAGCTAAGTTTACTTTTGTGCATGCATTCTGCTGCTTACTTTCTTCATGTTTTACTTGCTGTACTGCTATTAGTTGTCTTCTGTGTTTTAAAATGATCAGTTTTATTCTCTAAGATAGTGTGCAGGGCCCTCAAGCTGAAGGACAAACCAACACTGCGGGTGGAGATTTATTTTTTATATCAGCTGTTTGCCTTCATTTTTCGTTAGACTTTTATCTGCTGAAATGAAATGCTGCCTTTTGTTACTTCATTTCGCTAACAGCCTGCATGTGGTCGCTCATCTTGTAATTCATGACAATATCGTTGTTTAGCATTTTATGGATGTTCGTAATGACAGCAAACTTAGCAAAGAAAAAGACATTATGGCATGGCAGCGTCTTTGTGAAGGATAAATACAACCAAGTTAAAGCCTCACACAGGCCTAAAGAACAGTTGGTGATGCCAATGAAAGGTCAGTGGCAAAAGCACAGTATCTAAAGCTGTGTAGCATTTGACTGTGAGTTTTTTTCATTAGTATAAAATCACATAGGAAACATTAAATCAGCCCAAAAGTTAATTAAATCAATTTGGCATTGCAGTTTACTTGAGAGACTAAATTACTGAGATGGAGCACATTAATATTTAGACGTTACAGTTAATAATAAAGCATTAAATGTTTCTGTTTAAATCCTTGTTTTCCAAACTCAGAGTTTCTGCTTCTGCTTTTTAGAGTATGTTAAAAAAAGACGCTGTTTTTATTGTCTCCCTGCACGCTGTCAGACACACAATCTCCTCTGTACTATTTCATCTCAGATGTCTTGTCAGCAGTAAGATATTTCCACTGCAGCTATTTGGATCGTAGTTTTCGACCCTCCAGGATTGCAGACGTTGGCTCTTCGGCCCTGAGAGTTATTTGAAACAGCAAAGAGGACATCTGAATGCCTCAATTTCACGTCATCACTGACTTGTAAAAGTGAAACATGATAATGAAGACGTAGCTGGTGCGAGTGCTGCCTGACAAGCAAGTTGATCCTAACATGGTTGGCTGGAGTGAGGGATAATAATTGGGTAAATTCCCACACAACCTCATTATCAGCTAATGAAATTAACATAAGCTGTGAAAACAGACATCCCTGAGTGTATTATCCACTATCCAGTCCCCATTATAGAAGCATTAGTGTACCTCTAACTCACATTTATATTGATCTCTTGAGTCATGTGCGATTCCCTGTTTTCTGATTGGTTTATGTGCTGGCTCGGTTCAAAAGTGTACCTGGTACTCCGATGGAGAGCAGAATGCTGTAGTAGATGACGGGAATGAAACCCAGGACACATTTGGACTTCTGCAGCTCCTCGGGTTTCAGGCCCAGCTCCTGGTTGCCGGACGCCGTCACATTGGGCCAGTCGATCATGACCTTGGCGGCTCCCCTGGCGAAGTTAAAAAGAGAGAATTATGTTTGCAATTGATTAGCAAGGAGAGCTTTACAAACATCGGGTCACTCAACACAAAAAACAAGTTCAGGGCATTTTTTCAGCACATCTGGGGTTGATGCACTTCACACGCAGACCTTATTTCCCCCTCAAATACACCAAAAAGCTCAGTTTTGAAGTGCATTCAGTCACAGATTTTGGAAGACGTATGCAGACCCTTGACAGTGTGAACATGTGTAAACCAATTTCTCTGAAAAATTCCCTCCTGGAGCTCTTTGTGCCAGAACCAGACTAAACCCCTCATGTTATTGAAGATCACATAGCCGTTGCTTCTAAAATGTTTTTTTGTACAACGTTTGATTGACTAAAATGGTCATGACTGAGTTACACAAGCTAGACTATTTTAAGAAGGAAGAGTGTCTTTTTATCTTCAACCAAATGCAGATTTAAAGACACATCTCTGTCCAAATATGTCTCCCCAGGCTCCACTGGGTGACCTGGTCCTTCATATCCATTAACCAACATTAACTAAGTTAACTTCGTTTATTTTCAAATACTCACTAGAGCAACAACTCTTGATACATCCACTGCTCAGAATTAGTCCTCAGCACACACTCCATTTACTGGCACATTTTTTTTCAAGTTACAGTTCTGTAATTGGAAAATATGTGGAATTGTTTTTCTTAAAGATTTACCAACTATCTGTGAGAGCCAAAGGCAGTTTGCTGTCAGGCAGTCTGCAGACCAACATACAAAACCAACATACGTTGTTGGCTTTAGTCTTTTTCTGTGTTTTAAACCTGCCATCTGTGATACTGAGCAGAAGTGGCTCCACAGTGCAGTGGTTTGCACAATCACCCAACAAGTGAAAGATCCTCAGTTTGATCCTGGGAGGAGATACAAATTCCTTGGGGGTTGTTTCAGGAAGGGCATCCGGTGTAAAAATCTGCCATATGAAATATGTGGAGCTGCCCCCTAAAATGCATAAAGGAGCATCTAAAGTAACTTTTATCTATAACACTGAGCAGGACTGAAGTTTTAGTTGGATGTTTCTGAATTCTCAGTATTTCATGTTTTCAAGTTCTTTTTTAACAAATTGAGTGTCTGAGACTAAAAACCTGTTTTTTGTAACAGAGTTGACAAACTTCAGATTGTTTTTTTTAGTTGATAACACAACTGAAAACGGTGGAACCCAAGCTAATGAGATTAAATGTCTTATATGAAGGCAGACATTGATGTCCCTGAAACTCCTCAGTATGGATCCCTGATTCTAGAAACCAAGAAATTGTATTCATCTTATTTTTCTAACGCTAACCAGGCATCTTTCTGCCTCACACTGACTCTACAAAAATCCCCAGGTGAGAATGAAAAAACAGGGCGGTGAGCTGAAAATAGCCAGACAACAATGTTAAAATATCAAAAGGTGTTCATTGTCGAATATTGAATATTTGTTAAGAAAGCACAATTTAAACCATAGTGGAATATTTCTTTGATATGATCTGGTTTACATGGATGTGGTTCGGAGGAAGAAGATGATGACAGATCTTCTTTTGCAGACGATGCACCGCTCTCTCTGAGTTGCTCGGTGACGTCTGATAAACGATGTTTGCTCAGCCAAACTGTTTCAGAAATAAACCGTGGAAACAAAAATATGCTAAATCCACTTAGTTTGGACTCAGTCAATTAAACTGCAGGTTCACAACAACAGCAGATGGGCTGACAGCAATGACCCTTCCACTCTCCCACCACCACAGGTCATTATCTTCCCGTCCCCAATTTAACCTTTTCACCTGGGCGCCAGCCATCCTGTTTTTCTCCATCTGCCTGCTTTCCTTATTTACTTCCCTCATCCATGAGGCAATATTTGGACTGCGTTATCTCTCGAGCTTTCAGTGACAAACCATTTGTAGTTGCTCAACCAACATACACATTATCACAGAGCCACAATTACCCCATTTGTCGGTGTTTTCATGATGTAAGCAGGACAATCACTATCACTAACGTGTAGTCATTTTTAAATTACTGCCCTTGCAAATGCTATTTATGTGCCAAAGCCCTGCATATAAACTATATGACTGGCACATTTTATGGCCCGTAGCAGGAATATGATCGTAAACTCGAGGAGCATCGAATAGCTTAGTGCACGACAGCTTTAATTCACCACAGCCCGATAAACCAGCAGGAGAGAAATGCAATCATGAAGATCAATGATGTACAAAGGAGAGAGGTCGACATGAAGGAGGCTGCCTGCTGCCCTTTTTCTCAATAGAGTCTTAATTTAGTCCCACGGGAAATTCACCACAAGTCCTCCAAACCTCACTGATATGATATGAAGTGTTTTCTGAATTAGTGTCTTAGTTTAGACAGAAGAAGAAGTATTCTAGACCCCACTCCACAAACTACTGTGGACTACTACTGTCTGATGTTACCTTTAGCTGTGGTGGATGCTGTTACACCCAAGCCGTAATCTAACTCGATGAAAGTATTAGCGTGTGAAAATTAAACCAGACGAGACTTGGGTACAAAGTAATCTGCATTTAACTCCAGATGCTTTGTAATAATTCTGTTTTAGGATAGGTTATGTAGTTTGTTTCCAGATGTTATGATATTTTTTTTAGAGCACCCCTTCTTTCACCAACTCTTTGGTCACTAGAAGTTGAGATGACATTTTAGACAACAGGGAAAGAAACAATGTATAGTTTAAACACCAAGAGCCATTTTTTTGGCATCTGCCCTTTTTATTTCTTCTGTCAAGTAAGTAACAGCTGGTCGGTACATCACCTTTAATCACCACACGCTGCTTTTTGTATGAGATGTTTTCATTAAGCAGCCAAACAGCAAGCATTAGCTAATACTTGTGTTTTAAAGGCGATGTTCCTGGAAAATAATCAAAAATGATATTAGTGTATTTTTAGTTCAGTACTGATATATGTAATTAAATATGGGATTTTTATTAGGACAGCATTTAATTCTTTCAGTCTCATCAGCGCCCTCTAGGTGAACTGCAGTCATTTTTTAAAACAATGGCATTAATGTAAAGTGGACAGGCTCTGTGACGGGCTCTGGCTGCTGTCACAACCATTTCTAATTGAAGGACAGTCTGAAAAGATATTCTTAGCTTTATATATCAGAGAGCTGTCCGTGATATAATCTGTACTTTGTGAATGAGATTGGGATCAGGCAGGATGCTGTTTAGTGATCGTCTCATGGTGGAAATCAGTAACTGGAGATTGTCCAGGTCCCTGTGCGATCCACTGAGTTTTTATTAAATTTTTTCATTTGGAAGTTTCCTTCCAGTGCCATGTGTGCTTTTGTTTTACGTCTTCCTCATCTTCTCAGTGACTTCCTGTATTATTTGGGTAATAACATTTGTGCTTCCTTTTTATCCCTTCTTTATGACACCCTGTGTGTGTAAATACGATCTTGCTTGCTCGTGTCACTCGTCAGTTTGTCCTTCTGTTGTTTGTCCTGCTACTCCTTCCCCTTTTCCCCTGTTTTGTTTCACTGGACTTTGTGCATCTTTATTATTTTTCTATCAGCCGTTAGAGGCATGTTCTTTTGTTTGTTTAACCTACTTCACTGCATTTGGGTCTTCTCTCCAGCGAATTACTCACAGAGATACTAACATTTCATCCACGACCTATAACATTATATTCTAACATCACCCGAGAGTCTTTCACTCACCTGCTAAAAAGATATCTGAGAATCTTTTAAGTTAAAACTTAGGGTTAAATTAAATTTATTTACACTTAAACAATAAAACAGGTATTTTACAAATATATTAAAATCCTCAACTCTGAAGCTTCTGTAATTTCATAGCAAAAGAGTAAAGAAAAGAAACACGTATGAGGATTTATGTGTTGTACTTATATGACCAAAGGCTCCAGAGTGTTTGTGTTTAAGAATTACATTTAAGTAGACTTAAGTCCAGGCTATGAATTAAAAGCTGCGTCCTTTGACTTTTCTCAGATTCTGAAGTAACAAAATAGAACCATTACAACCCTTTTTTTGTTTATAATTAGAAATATTCTCTTATCTCATTGCTTATTATGGAACAGCTTCCCACGTGCTCAGATAGGATGTCTTATTTAGTATTAATAGATGCTCAGCTCCCATAGGAGGTGTAAGGTGTATGCAGAGATGCATTCAGTGTTTGACCTCAGACAAAATGATGCATGTTTGCTGCGCTGAAGATGAATAATGAGATGTTTTTATGGCTAACTTCAAATATAGTATAAACTTATTAAGTCCTTCAAACTGTTTGTGCTGTCTGAATAATACGGTGGCTGTAAAAACAAGAAAAACAGCAACAAAACGACACTTTTTACTTTTATTCCTCTTTTTGATCCTATTGTTTTGTGTTTAAATGTTGGGTTTGGCTTTGTTGCCTCAGGGCCACCGTATCATAGTTCAAAAATTTAGTGTTACTGGAAGAAGAATCTAGTTTCTCTATTTTGTTTTGGTTAATTTTATGTGTAAAGAATGACTCAAGTTATGAACACTATCACTAAATCAACTTTGTTTTGTAATGCACACCATTGTATTGACATTGTGTAATTATTTCTATAAAAGCCCTGACATTTTATCTATTTACTTACTGATAGCAGGTGGAACTGTTCACCATCAAAGACATGCACAGAAGACTGTGCAGCAGGTACAGTTTTACACTTCATCACATTTTCCACATCAGAGCTGCATTCTGATAAAACGTTAATGTTTGCATTTGCAGAAGTTCTCTTCCTAGATCAAATGGAAACTACAGTGTAATATCACAGATTAAGCCGAATAAGCTGCATATGAAAAAAGGTGAAATATCCACTGTGGACCCATGAGACTCACTCGGTCTTATCTGCTATGACACCTGATCTGTTTCCTCGTGAGCTGCCTGCAGCAGCCGCAGTGAGAAAGACGATCGTCATGAAAGTCGAGAGGTTGCCAGAAAAACGTGGCACAGGGGACCGTAATTACTCCCGGCAGTCAGTAACCCAGCAGACGTG